AAGTGTAATTTTCCCTTCTTGAACTACATATTCTTTTCTTTTCTTTTTTCTTTTTTCTTTTTCATTTGCGCGTCTAATTAAGTTTTGCACTAAGAGAAATAGGCACGCGCACAGGTAGAGTCTGCCTGAGTCGTGCGGCCCTAGGTAATGCCTAGTTTAGCGTAGCATCTGGGTTCCGCCTTCTCCTTGGCTTGCCGAGTTTTGCTTCTGATCTCTCTCTGAGTCTCTTGTTCGTTACCTTCTACTCCCAATCTTCTCCCTCTGCTACTACTGCAGCTACCAGATATCGACCTAAGAGATACTAGACCAAGTGCGAGAGGATCTACCTTCTAATATTGATATGGCTGTACCCAAAGGAACAACTCAGTGACAAAGAAATCGCGATGTGAACTTTAGTACACGAGTTTAATCTCAATGACCTTATGGACAATGTTCCGCCGTCCTAGTTTATGTCACGTGAAATTCCAGGACATTGTCGTAAAGTTTCACATATGGAATTTGAAACTAAGCTAGCGTTTGGACATAGATTTGATTGAAACTTGAAAAAAGAGTTTTTGAAGTTACGTTGAAAAATAATTTTTGAAAGTTGAATTTGTGTTTGGACATGCATTTTATACGAAGAAAAGTTGAAGTTATGTGAGTGGAAGAAAAAATTTCAACCAAAAACTGCCCTAAACCAATTTTTGGGAACTTGAAATTTTTTGAATTTTTTTCCTCAAAACATAATCATATTTCATAAACTAACAAGATTTTCAAATACTTTTTGAAAAAATAAAGCCAAAATCTATGGTCAAACGGGAGCTAAATGTCAGTGGCTAGTTTTCAGTTACCGGACTGAAAAGTGGCTAGCCTGCACTATTATTACTACATAGGAAAGGATCAAAATTGATTAGACTACACTATTTCTTTTGCTACAAAGTAAAGCAATTGATTTGGTGGGGGATAAATTCCATAAGTAGAAAGATGTTTGCATTATGAATTTGACACAAATTTGGAAAGATATTTGTCTCTTTAATTGCTGGGCATTACATTAGAATTTTGACTCAAACAATATGCAATAATATACTAGCAATGTTTAGTCCCATAACAATTTCAAAAAATCAGAATAAGAATTGATATTTTCCTTTTGGGTTCAGGTGAAACATGTTTTGTATTGTAATTAATTCTTGAAAGATATTTTAGCTTAAAAAGTTAACTTTATCGTTAAAAACGAAAGTGTTATTTTCAACTTTTTTGAAACGTCAAAATATACGTTAACCTTAAGATCTTATTTAAAAAATATCACTCCTAAAATCCTCATTCCTACACAGAAATATGTGATGTTCCATCACTTCGTTTGGGGGATTGTAATGTTGATGGGGACTGCAGATAACGTACTTTAATGCTCGTTGCTCTAAGGTCTTTCCTCTTGTCCTTTTAAAAAAAAAATATTATTTGGTGTGGGGAATTAATGACGCAAATAAGGGAAAATGACACTAAACGGTCGCTCTCAAAATAATAGACGAAAATGTATGTATATATATATATATATATATATATATATATATATATATATATATATATATATATATATATATATATATATATATATATATAT